AACACTTAAAAGAAAAGGCCCTTCACGCGTTTTCTAGTATTCGGAAGCGGACAATTCTTAACAAACTTAATCCTAATACTGCATCCCAAATTTTTGACACCATGGTATTCCCAATCTTGAGTTACAACAGCGAGGTATGGGGAATGTACACCAAGCAAGATTTTAAAAAATGGGATAGCTCCCCAATAGAAAAAATCCACCTCAAATTCTGTAAACGTTACTTAGAGGTTAACAATAAGGCCTCTAACATAGCCTGCAGAGCTGAACTTGATAGACTGCCGCTGCTTATCCCGATAAATCAGAAAATTATGAAATATTTTGTTTACCTCAACAACAAAGATAATGACTCTATAGTCAAAGAGTCTTTCCTTATGTCAAAGAATCTACATTCTATGAATAATTCCGGATATTTTTCCAATTTCATAAACATGCTTCAACAATACAATCTAACCAGTTTAGATGCTGAATCTCTAGATAATGATAAAATTAGACGATATACCACAGAAATGAGAGAGAAATATCTATCTTTTTGGCGGCACAGCCTCGAAAATTCAAAAAAACTAGAATTTTATAAAACTTTTAAAGATGAATATTCTACTTCTGATTATCTCTACCAGCTAAGACATTATGACGAACGACAGAATTTTGTTAAATTTAAAATAAGTAATCACAAACTTATGATTGAACATGGTCGATACCAAATCTATCATTTGCCAAGAGAAAATAGATTATGTCCTTTATGTAACTCAAATCAGGTAGAAGATGAGATTCATTTCCTCTTTCAATGTAACAAATACTCAGTACAGAGACAGGCATTTATTAATCAAATCAATCGAATAATACCTGAATTTGACAAGAAATCATCTCCAGAAAGCATAAAACTGATAATGAATTCGAAGGAACATCATGTAAATAAGTTAGTTATGAAGTTTGTTTCCTCCTGCATGAAAATACGTGATTCATTGTTAGTAATGTAACCGAATTTTTCTAGATAATTATTAGTGCTGTTTTGTTTTATATTTTGATTGTCATAATACATGCTTTTGCAATACTGTAAAATGATGCGGTCATGCAAATAAAGCAATTTATTACTTACTTACTACTACTACAACTACTACTACTACTACTACTACTAATAATAATAATAATAAGCTACGACTAACCAGTGGAAGATATCTCCTCCACAAGTGCTTGTGGGGAAGACTTTACGGTTGATCACTCTATGATTTGCTAATGCTGTGTTTACACTCAAGCGTTTACCAAGGTAAACATTAACTGACTTAACCCTGGTACATTTGTACAGTGTTTATACGGGCTCAAATAACTAAGGTAGATCTGTCATCAATCACAATCTAATCGAATTGGCGGCAAATTCTAAATCCACGCTAGCCTGCAGTGCAGGCGTTTTCTTTGAGCGCGCAATTTGCTCGCGAAAGCGCCATGTTGAAACTTCCCGAAGAGAGGAGGAAATGGGGCTAGTCAAAGGGAGCGTAAGCGTAAGGGTTACAATTACTACTCTCCCCAATCTTCCACTGTCATAAAATCAAAGATGGCGGCTACAACAACATTACGAACACGAACAAGGTTTCGCCCACCCAAAATACGCCTGCAATGTAGGCTAAATCCACGCATAAAATGCTCGCTTTAAAAGAGAAGCTGTGGTTCTTGTAGTCCTCGCGTTTTATTTTCTTTGTTCTTGATCAGCAAACCCGGGAATCGAGATTGCAGGAGCTCTTACTTTTGCAGCACTTAAAGAGGTCGAGGTGAAGGCGATTAATTCTGCTACAAATTGCCCTTCGCAAGACAAGGCGCGTTAGACGTGCGTGGTCGTGGCCGAGAAACCAATTCTGGTTCGAAACTCTATTAAACGGAAATTTTGTTGAAGAATGGTGGAAGGAGAACTTTAGAATATCAAGACGTACGTTCGCAAACACTGACGCAATCCCGACACTACAGGATGTGAAATTCTATGCGACCGTAAGCGGATGTATCTGTCATCCAAACCTTGGTTACCGACCTTAACCATGCCTGCTCGTACGGTAAACCGAACTTTTACCTTAGTTGACTTTCTATTGTCTTGAGCGGTGTTTACCAGGGTATCAGTTGGCGTTTACACACGCAAAATATTTACCTAGGTAAGTTAACTCCAATACCTCGGTAGAACGCTCAAGTCTAAACACGGCATAAGAGAACTCGAAGTTGACTTTCTGAGTATGGTGTGCAGCGATGCCGAGATCGAGCCAGCTCTCCAAGACATCTCCGGCGAACAGTTAAAGAGAGGATCTAATAAAGCTCAGGATGTGAGGTTAGACATCCAGACACGTGGGTTCTGGGAGCGCCGGCATTCTTCGATGTGAGGGTCTGTCACCCTAATGCTGTATCTTATAGGGACCTAGAGCCACAACAAATTTATCGTATCCACGAGAACGAGAAAAAGCGTCTCTACTCAAGGAGAGTTCTTGACATCGAGCATGGAACATTTACACCTTGGTCTTCACCA